CAAGCTGTATGGTCCAGGTCATTCACAGCTAATACTTCAAAACTTAAACTGCATTCATGCAAATATTAGAAACGTGCTGGGGAAGAGTTGACACTAAGGTGCGCATTACCTTTTCTTAAGGTGTTGTGAGTCATTATAAAATATAATGCACGAGCAAACATACTGAAATATATTTATACACACATTTTATATTTGAAGTCAATGGGGAAATGCGCTGCTTTCTGGGCAACACGTTTCAAGAGTTTGCTTCGCATTGCCTCTATGCTACTTTAACACTCGCTTTTAACAAAATTAAATAAAAAAAATACATACATAAATATAATACAAACAAAAAGAAACAACACATACTAAACCTAGTATGGTATATAAGTATACATCGCAGTCATAATGTATCTTTTGGCCAGCAGCAACATACCAACTTGCTGGCAAGAATCAGGTAAACATAAGTGCTTTTTAGAAACTTAATAATACACAAAGGACTGCAGAAACATATATGCTGTTTTTGTGCACTTTAACAAGTTCAGAAGGCGACGAAGAGTTCACAAGTGTGTGTGTGTGTGTGTGTGTACTGCTCCAAAAGGCACAACTAAGAAAGTCATTCATGCCATGGTTGACGCCCAAATGACTGCATAACCTTAAACATAAAGTAACCCAATAAACTCAAGTGTTAAATTATTTCCAAGATCATCTGGTTGACATCTTACATCTTAATATATGTAMATAGTATATACGTGCTCACTCTTATCTTTTGCGGTTTCCTTGCTGAGAGCGAAAAGCTCTTTAGAGCTCTTCCGATTTAATCATAAAATAGCTTGATGCGAGAGAGACTTCCTTAGTCTAGAGCGTAAAGTCARCGAACTCAAGGCAAATACCGCTGCTCCACCAGCGTAGATAGTCACACTCGGAGGCTATCTTCGAAGCAGTAGATTACTGCTATCTGCATGGCATATGCCTAAGTATGATCAACAATATTCCATGATGATGTGTTATAGCCCTTAAAATAAGAAAATAATGTATATTATATTTTTGGTTGGTGTGTTAATACGGAAATATGCCTAGGATAAACCACGCACGCTCGAACCTATGTTACCGCTATAGTATGCTCTGACACCTTATTGTGACTGTAAACGCTACTCTGAACTCAAAAGTAGTGCGGCAGGTGGTATTTTATTTAATTTCTTTCACCTTTTGCGATCATGTGAGCAAGCTCCTTACAATAATTGCAGCAAAAAATATAAAGAGCAACAGAAATGTGAATGGAGAAAAATATGAAGAGCACTTAACGGAAGGAAGGAAATACCAACAAAAGCTTACAAGTATAGTGTATTATTGGCGGCATGTGCGGTTTGTCAGCTTATGCGGTGGTAGTGGTGAAACAAAAGTAATTATAGTATGTGAAAGCATTTGCTCGCATTTGCAGGTATATACACATATAAGCATAAGTGTTTAACCGGTATAATCGTTTATATACATATAAATAGACAAACAGTCAGCAATTCTACCCACGTGCTTATAGTAGTATATAAGTACATATAAGCATTTATAGTATGTTTGTTGGTATGGTATCGGTACTCTATACTGTATTTGTATTTTTACAATTGCCGCTGCCAGTTGAAGTGGAAAAATGTGCATAAAACACATCCATACCTCTTTATGAGTACATCCACACATACACACACAACTGAACATTAAATACCATGTGAAGTGTTTATTGCGGCATTTGGTTCAAATATAACCACACATTGCTTCTGTGTGTGTAGATTGTAGTGTGAACATGAAATTTAATGTTTCAAAAAGGATGCGCTCGCATTATTTTGCTCGATTATTGCGTGTGCTTTAAAGCATGCTTACATGTTGATGATTATTGAAGCTTTTAAGGCATTGAACTGTAAAATGCGTTCGTGTGAAATGCATTTGCGAGTAAATACTTAGCAGAAGTTCCGCTTAGGAAATGTGTGATTTTTAATAGTCTACTTAGGAAATTCCCAATGTTATAGACTGTTATATCAGTCTTAAATTTTAAATGAAATAAAAGCAGAGCTAAATAAAAAAAAAAAGAAAAAAAAATATTCAGACAGAAAAACAAGAAAAAATGTTAACTTCGGTTGCATTGAAGTACTATAGACCTTCCCAGTTTCATTTATTGTAGCATGATATTGTATGGCAGATATATGTTATAGTGGTCCGATCTGAAAAATTTATTTGAAGATTGTAGCATAGTCTGAGAAAATAACCTATACCACATTTCGTGCAGATATTTCCACAAACAAACAAGTTTCCATACAAGCACTTGAATCAGATCGTTCGGTGTGTATGACAGCTATAGGAATTAGTGAACCTATGTATTATAACAGTTCGGGCAAATGTAAAGCTTCTTGGAGAGAAAAAATATGTGTAAAATGTCAATTCAATATCTCAAAAGCTCAAAGAGTAGTATACAAGTATACGCGAGTATGTGCAGTCCTGTTCGGCTTTCAATGGTATTTAGTTAAATCGATTCAGCTCAAAATGCTAAGCATTTATTTATTATTTTTATAGAGTCGCCGATGTTTCTATTTGAGTGTTACAAYCTTCGTGTACAAAAACGCTACTTTTGTGGTCCCACAAGGTAGAGAATAGAAAGCTTTTCATTTAGCGTTAACCAAGCATCATTTTATGCCGTTAATGTTTACTTCATATATAGACTCATAATGAATAACAGCTTCAGCATTCAAATATTAGTTTTTAAACCACATTATTTAAAGGCTTTATGACATTCAACTGATTTTAATTGCATACATATGTATGCAATTGCATATGTATGCAATTTTATTGCTATTATATTTAAATCATATCGTTTGTATAACATTTTGATATAATTAAATACAGTGCACGCTACAAAGCCGCAAAACAATTTACAACGCTTTTATATAACCGCAGCCATAACAAAGAGTGGCTGCAGCAACACGCCCACCACACATACACAAGCATCCTATATATGCACCTCTAGAGCTATAAAAAATATATGCTAGATAGTGTGATTGCGAATTAACATTAACAGTAGTTGCAACAACAACAATCAACAATAATCAGAATAATTGCATTTTCCCTGTAGCCACAGTAACGGCTGTTGTGGCCAAAAGCCAACAAATGTATATGCGTAAATGACTTGACCATTGCAACTGCTGCTTYTGCTGCTGCTTTACTACCTTTGACCACATACTAGCTGGACGTTTTTGTTGTTGATTTCGTTTGTTATCCTTTTAGCGGCGAGCTCCAGCTTAGTGAATGTGTGAATGTTGTGCATTGMGAATGTCATGTGCAAGTAGAAATTGTGTTAATGGACAATACACAGGCCGATGGCAACAAACACCAAACAACAACAAACAATTAAGGAAGGGCTAAATTCGGAAAAATACGAATATTTTATACTCTTGCAACATGCAAGGATTAAAGCCAGGCAAGTACCTTCAGGCATATAAAGCTTGCTAGTTATCTAGAGCGAGTTTTCAAACCGACTTTATTTATACTGTTTCAATTTTATAAAGATAACTCACAAATTGGCTGATTTATGGGGTATAAAATCACTGGGAAGCTGTGGAAGCACATTCGATACCTAGGCGCTTGGGTGGAGTCCGATTTTGCCCACTTGTTGTTAAAAGCGTTCTCATACCATAACCATTSWTTTATTGCGCTTTAAGTAGTTTGTGACAGGACTGTTATACGCACAACTGTTAGGTCAACAAGCTATTACACTCTGTAGCAACATGTCGCAATAGTATAAAAACGCATTGCAAACAACTGCCAAGCACAGCAAATGCAGCTCACACTAGTATTTGTATAATAGATAATATCGCAATATTAGTAGCGAACCGCTACATTTATACRCACAATCACAATTATAACTCGAATGTATATGCCATATTTGCCAACGCATAATAAATCCAGCAATTTGTGTGCGTGTGTTGGCGGTGGCGACCTGGCCATTATTCTGTGCGCGTGTGCATTTCCGCATTGACAGTGTACACTTGAGTGGTATAAGGCACCTTCTACCCTTAAACTCTGCGCTGTGTTTGAACTGCAGCTTTACAAAGCAACTATTCGTGTTTATACTCGCATACATACTTTCATACATACATTTGTTGGCAATAAATGTTACAGTCACAATTGTGATGGCTTGTTATAGCAAAAGTAACAAGAACAATGTGCGGTCGTGCGCTGTATTTGTTATTGCACTAAGTAATCCTATCCACTTGCACTGTCACTTTCAGTTTAGCGGATGTTTGAAAAATTGTTACGCATCCGCAGTGGTGTACTTGCACTACTATTTATAAGCGATAGGTGATCGAAATGGCTATCTTATTTATTAACACTTAAATGTGGTTTTTTATTGGAAAAATTTAATTTGAGGTGATTAATTTTCAATAATATGAAAATGTTTGCCTACTTTTGTGTGTTGTTCGTCAATAACACCGATAAATTCATAAAAAGTTTGTTTTACATAACATTGTTAATAGTGTTATATATAACGCAAGCGGGTCTGGGGTTGAACACGGAGAAAACGGATGTGTTTGCGTTCACAAGAAAGCATAAAATTCTTCTATGAAGTTYCCTTCGATAAATGAAACACAACTCCCTCTCAAGGACAGCGGAAAGTACCTCCGGGTAGTCTTGGACAGCAGGCAGCTGTAGAAGCATAAAGTGGAAGAAAGAGTGAATAAAGCTAACAATGCTTTTTATCCATGTAGGTAGATGCTCGCCACAACCTGGAGGCTCTCTCCCTCCCTCATGAAATGCTACACATTGATTTTACTACAATTTTTTGTGTTCAAAAATTATCTACACGGATCTAAATTTTATTAGATTAAAAAAAAATTGAAATTCACAAGATGTTATATCTGCTTAAGGAAGCACATCTAATACCCATATTGTATTTGTACCCTTAATTTTGTTGTATTTTTAATTATAATTTTTTGTTTTCTGTATTATAACATCTCTTCATATTTTTGTATTTTTTCCAGAATTTTACACTATTCCYAATAATTTTGAAATGACAGTTGAGGTGAGTGACTTCAAAAATACATATACATATATTCTAACAACTTATAAAATTTTTGAAAGTGAGCTGAAGTTTTTACAATGTTTTAAATAGATTAAGCTGTCTCAGAAGACAGCTATTATAGATAAAAATTTATTAAAAATGTGTGATTTGGAGTTATATAAGTTTCAGTACAATATTTTTTCTCGGCTTAGTATAAATAATTCTCTTTAAGAAATACATATGGTATGTGTGTATGGTATATGAACACAAGAATAGTAAAAATTAAATGTATTTTTATTGCTATGAGTACTAGTCAATTTCAATTTGGAATTTTCATTTGTGCGCAATATTTTTATTGCGGGCTTTTACAGGCGACAATAGTTTAGGCTATTATGACACAATATTTGTATGCCATTTTCATTTGCTGTCACAGCTATGTAGGAGCTTATTGYGTTTTGGACTGCTGCTTTGGTAGATAGTATTGCCTATTTTCTAATGGAATATATTCATACAAAGCATTAAATATACGAGCGAATGGAGTTTTATTCCGTTTAACCACTTTTATTGCATGGTTTATTGTGTATTTTCCTTTCATAGGCAATATAAAATGTTTCACTGGAAATTTTTCAGCAATTACTGACCAATAAAAAATGTAAAAAATCAACAAATAGCACAGCTGCAGGATCCACCCTCTATACATGCCGTAACATTTGAATAGCTACTCATTACCAAACTGTGGGCAGTATTGTGTCAATAGCTTGTTAAAATAGAATAAAATAAAAAATTAAAAAAAAAAAAATGCTGCCAAATTGACTGGTACTTCAATTTCAAGCATTTTTATACCAAAAGTACAAAACATATTAAGCTCCATAGAACTTTCACCGTTAACTTGGTATTTTATTAAAGCAAACGTACATGTGTATGTGAGTACATACACATTCGAAGGCTCTAGAAGTATACCTCCTAGGATGTCTGTCTATTAACTTGATTCCTCTTGTACCGCTTACTTACTCTCTACGCTATCGTGTTGAGTGCTCGGAAGCTTCAGTCATCATGCAATCGACATGGAATTTTGAATAACCCATTTTCGGAACTTGACCATTACAAAATTTTAATTAAAATTCAGTGACAGTTGTGACAGCAAGCAGTAAAAGTGAATGAAATGAGGACACTGCAGTAAAAGCTGGGATAATTTAAATGCTTGGATGCTTATATAGTTATACAGTTGTATATACACATACACGCACACACATGCTTCAATATACTATATATGTATATATGTGTGCATAAAAACAAATTTAAATACAGTTACCAAATTAACGCTGAGCCTATTTTCCCCATGTTGTCCAAATGAATAAATGATTTCTAGAACATCCGRGCGAAATATACATGTGGAAAAATCATTTGGGAGATAAATTTTGGGTTGATTTTAAATGACTATTCCGAGTGTAGAGTTAATATTTACTATGCTGAACATCATATGAGTRACTAGTAGTCACAACCTCGTACTTATTCATTTGCTTTGATGGGTTGATTAGACATTCAGGAGAATCGATTTCTCAACATCGTCTCAGCAACCTGTTTAATAAAATGAAATACTTAAAAATTCTGATAGAAAATTTTCATTGATGCCAAATATTGAAGAGAGACTAAGGAAGACGTTAGTTGCCTTACATTGTTGTATAAGAGCTATATGGAGACTACACCAATAATAGCACTTACTGTCTTTTTACACATAGCTTCCCGTTCCTCAGGGAAGCTGGGCTTATGAATTCTATTCTGCTTCAACTACATTCCCGAAAAATTGGATTATTATGTTGTAGAGGTCACTTGTGGTGGCTATCTCTCTGCTCCCAAACCGTCGTGTTATATGTTTATGGAGAGGAGTCGCTGGCGAAGAGGCGCAGTGATCTTTTACACAAATGTCTAAAGGTCTATTCGTGAGTCTACTCACTTAAACTGCAATCAATAAATACTCGCATACCGTTGCCGGTGAATGTGGCAAAGATTGGCAAGTCTGCAGCTTTTTGCTGCTTTTTGTGCCATTCTTGCTAAACTGTTTACATCTGTGTGTGAAAGCGCTTTCATTGCTATACAAATACATTTGAACATATTTACCAATACACAAAGAGTTTATCTGAAATTGGCAACTTTTCAAGTAAGCAACGAAATCGTTTTGTAAAGTTATTTTGGCCAAACAATTTGCCGTTTTGTACTCTTGTTGTGATCGTACAATATTTGTGTCGCTCGGTGTTATTTCTTTTGCTTTTACTGAATTGTTTTGTATCTCCTGTATATGTACATAGGACTAGCAACAATTTAATTGCCAATACCCGAGTTCGATTTTTGTTTCTACTTTCATTTTTTGTGGTTTGTTTTGCTTTCGGTCGATTGAGTTTGAAAGGAAGTGAGGCGCACAATTGGCTTGTGAATGCGTTGKGTGCAATCGGTTTGTTGCTGGGTGTCCCTACGGTTAGGTATCGGTTTTTATGTTGAAATAAATAAAAAAAAGTGAAGAAAACATTGAGCACATGGTTCAGTTGGCTTTAGCTGGCACTTCGCCCACATAAATTCATATGTTCCCATGCATACATACATATGTGTTTGTGCACATATAAGCTATGAACCATGAACTTCAGGCAATGCGGCTGCAGTCACTCTGTCGCCATTTGCTTTGCTGGCTGCTGACTTTATAGCCCCATGCTCTTGTTTTCAACTCCTCAGTTGTCCTGTTTACGTAATGCTTGGCTTTCGCCTTGTTGTCGCCATTACAATGCAGACTATAACAAACACCACTTTTGCCATATTTATTGATGTCGCCACACAAGTTCAATAGGAAATGAAAATGAAAAGCAAAAATAGTAACATTGGTCTATTTCGTTCTTACTTTTACAAGCTCTTTAATGAATTACAAAATTATCAAAGGAACTTTTTATTTTTTTTTGATTTTCTAATTAAAATAATTGCAGTGGAATCACAATGGGTCTCCTAAAGTCGTCAGACAGCCTACATTGGCTGTAGGGGTTTCTTTTGTATGGTTTAAAACCTTACCAGTTGTGAAATGGTTTCATATTTGGTTATCCCATCTTTGCAAAACCAAGCTTAAACCACCTAATCATCTCACACATATAGCCATGTGGGTGCGTTGGCGAGAATATAAGAAACTACCGACGGAGTCTTGTGATGAGTTTAAGGCGCTTTGATGATATGTGTTTAGTAGTGTAAGTGTGATCTGTATATGAAGGACCAGCCATGCAACCTAAACTAATCTTAATGATACTTACGAGTGAGTTGTTAATCAACAGAGAGCGGAAACAGATACAATGTATTTTGAATTGATTTTATTTCTGCAATATAAAGTCTGCGCAATAGGTTCGATGCTATATTATACACTTATAGGAGTTCGCTTTATACTTAAACTATTTATTGCTCCTCTATATTTTATTACCATCTAATATWACTACAATCACAAATGACCTACCAAAGAGCTAACTGCAATATAATGCATATGGGCGCTCGTGCAAAGTAGTCATATCTCTGCACCCCTTTAGGCACCGAGACACGCTCATATAACTATATATTGCTAATAAACTGATATAAAATGCACTTAACATTTACTAATTTCCACTTGCGCTTACGTCATCAACAAAATCATAAATTTCGCTTGCTGATGACGGTATATTTGATGAAATCCGAGCCGCGGTTCTATGCYCAGCCAGACATGTGCACTAGCTTCGACGGCTTTGATGCGAAGCAATGCAAACACAAAACTGCAAGTTCGATACTTTATTTCGCTATATACCCATGTACATAAGTACTTGGTATATGTAAGTGCTAAAATGTAAAATATATGGGTAATAATGGCTGTAAGTGCACATAAGTAAATCATACAAATTGCGCAAATTTACACAAGTTTACACTGGCATAACGAAACAGGCGAATATGTGAAAAATGTGAAATAATTTACAGCAAAACTTTTCACCAAAATATTTTGCGCATTTTTGCTGTTCCGTACAAGAATTTACGCATACGCATTGCTGTTACTTAATATATGAGGAAGGGTGCCTCATAATATTTTTAAATAAATTAAAAAAGTGTTTGTAATAAATGACTTTCATAGTTCTAGTTGACATTGACGGCCAGCCGAAATTTATATACCATGTATGGTAGATGTGTGGGTACTCTGACAAATGAGTGCAAGGAGGGCTTGTGTGGRCTATAGACCCCGTGTGTAGAATACTAGAATACATTTTGTGCAGAATTTCACACTAGGTTTGCTGTTAAAATTAGGCGCTCAATCACGCTGAATTCGAAATTCTTTTAAATTTTTTGATAAGTGAAAACTGAGAAGTAAATTTCATATTTACGTCATAATAATACATACTTCTTAAAAACAAATTTGCAAACTATAATAGCCTGTATCATGTAAGCCACTTGTGTGTTCGATTCGTCAGTCAACAACTCTTTTTTAGACGAAAATTATGCTTAACGAGTTAGCTATAGCCCCCCATTCTATGGATTCGTTTAATTGTCTATGTCCCCATATGCATTAATTGTAACAGTTGATAACATTTTGCGCGTTGAAACACGTACTTTTACCCCTTATAAGATATGACACGTTTCTGCCCGCTGGGGCTTAATTTAACCTATTCAAAAATTCATTAATAAATGGCACCGACATATATTCAGTCAATTTGTGTTATTGTTTGCAATATGGTCACAAGTTGCTGGCCATAAACTAAAACAGTTAATTAATTGTAGTGTTCACAATATGTTTTTTGGTTCTGTTTATTTTCAAAAATTATTCGAGCATTAAAAATTTATTGTTTGAAACTGTGTTAATTATGAATTTGACATATATTATTAACTTATATTTTCAAAAAATATAAAAAATTAAATTTATGGCTATTTAGTGCACTCTTTGGCGTTTAATTAAATCACAAATGTGCTTAATTATATTCATTTGTTTAATATGTTTTACGTGTTTATTAGCATCTACATTTCCCGACGAACAAATTT